TAATAATTTAATATGTAACTATATAAAATTACATCAGTATATTCTAACGAACAACATGTCAGTACGACGTATTTCTGTTTGTGATGGCAAAGAGAGTGCAAAAAGTAATAAATGGTATCGGTATGAAAGGATTTATTGATTACCAATTATCGAATTACATTTATTCACTTAAAAAGTATAGAAAATGGAGTGATATCATTATAGCGTGGGATTTCTTTAATATTTATCATTACAGTAAGTATTACAGTATAATGATTTAAATTCTAAACGTTAGCGTTAGTATTAAAATTTAAATGGTGATCAGATATTTAGATTTTTGGGAGGTATGCTGTATTTATAACCTTTTGAGTTTTAGAACACATAATAATACTGTATATCTTAGAATAAATATAGGATGTAATATAATATAATGTATAAATTTAGATGTGTATAGGATAGGATATGTACTGTATAGAACATACAGTATGTATAAGAATATACAGTATGTATATAGGGACAATATAGAATAAAGAATATAGAATATAGAATACAGGATGTAAACCCTTTACATCCTTTATACTTTTATATTACTTTATTTTTCTTTGTATCGTTTAACCCTTTATATGGAGAACAAATTATCATGTTCGAAGAAGTTGAAAATTTAATGATACTTGCATATATGTTGATATATGTTGGGTACTGCATGTTAAAAAAAAAAAAAAAAAAAACTGAGAAATGTCACCATCTTAGCACAAATTTTATAATCATTAGATACATAAGAGATTGATAAGAAAGAAATACGAAGCGCATTATAAGAATTACACAGAAAAAAAATGAGAAATAACTGAAACCATATCCTTGTTCTTACATTAGCCGACAAATCATGAAATTGTAATACATTATATCATTCTGCACTTTTCATAATGGTCGAGATATTTAATTATACCCAACTAAAGAAAAATACGCTACGGAGGACCAAAAGGGAACAAACGCATGTCGTTTATCATTACGAAATTTGGAATATGAATAATGCCAAAGAACAATGAACATAGAGAGAGCCACTTTTATTCATGCATTTAAACGGTGGACCTTTTGTAGGTGTAACTCGCAAAGAAAGTTTTTATAAAAAATTTATAAAAAAAATTTATAAAAAAAATTTATAAAAAAAATTTATAAAAAAATTTATAAAAAAAATTTATAAAAAAAATTTATAATATTTGAAAATATAAAATTCCCGCTAATCAAACAGAGACATTGAATTACCCGGTCGTTGGATCACCTTTTCTTACATGAAGAAACGTAATCGAACATGGAAGAGCAGTGGATTTTTCCAATAGTAGATAAATTCATAGACACGATTAACATCCAAGCGTACACCGCCTGTTTCGTTTCAATGAATTATAAATTAGAACTTTTTATAATTGTTTCGTATCATCTAATATCATTTAATGTGGTCGATCGATTCATTGAGGATCAAAAATTCTTTGTTTCTTAGAATTTAATAGGAGTACACATTAGCCAGATGTGAATTCCATGTGGTTATTACGGTGAAATCTTTTAAATAATCTGGGGAGGGGGTGGGGTTAAAAACACAAACAACAGACCCTCGTTTGTTCTTTGGAGGCTGTGCGATTATTAAAGAAAAAGACCCCACATCCGGTTAAGTAAGTACAAAAAAAAAAAAAAAAAAAAGTCTAAAAACCAGTTTTTATACATTTCTGGATTCTTATTTATTTTAACCCTGGTGAGAACTTTTTTTGTGTCACTCCGCATGCACATGCGTACATAAGTAACTCGACGTACTGTACGTACATAAGTACACTTACTACATTTTTGATTATTATTTTAAAATAAAAAATATATAAAAAAAAATCTATTCTATTACCTTTATATTATTAAACAACATAAATACTTTAAATCTTCTTAAGGTGAACGTCATTGGTCATCAACCAAGAATGAATCATTATGCTTAGGTAGCATCTCATTAAGGTAATTTTTTTACTTGGAGTACACTTATAATTATGAATTTGGATAAATGCCATGAGATTTACGCATCTATCAAAGCTTGCTGGAAAAATGAACAATAATTACATTATATTCGTAAAAAGAATAACAATTATTCTTTAGTTAGAAAATTGTTTAAAATTCGATCAGATCAATAACTAGTAACTTGTATACAGCATATTTAATCATTATATTATTATATATACTATTATATTATTATATATACTATTGTATTATTATATTATTATATTATTTATAGTATTTAAATTACAGTAAATTCAGAAATTGCAATATATTGCTTAGTTATCCAATAATTACAGTAATTATTACAGTAATTAAATTATTATAGTAAATTATTACAGTAAATTATTACAGTGATTATTATTACAAATAATTACAGTATATATTTTAAATTATGTAATTATTTTAATTGGGTATATTGAGTATTAACTAGGTATAAATTAAAAAATATATAACAGAATATATTTGGGAAGTAACAATGAACATAATTATACGTATGATTACTTTATAATAATTTTGTACATTTTAACTATTTATATTAATTATAATATTTTATACTATATATTTTAACTATTTAACTATTTATACTATTTATACTATTTATAGTGCATGGCATTTAATAATTGAAAATACCAAGCCGACCAACCGTTTTAAGAGAAGTCACTTCGCATTGAGTGATTGAACCGGGTGTTCTATCAATGCGCTTTTTAAATTAATAGGCTTGTTTATAAACTTGACTTTCAATAAATTCCCACTACAAGTTAATCCTCGGCAAAAGTTAATCTTTGTCGCAAGTTTAATCCTCGATTTTTTATAAACTTGAATCTTACGTATTTCAAAAAAAATAAAATAAACCCCCCTTCTTTTATAAAATCAAGGATTTAACTCGTTTATAACATGAAGATTATCATTATTTGATCCGGTCAAATGAGTCATTTTTAGTCTGTGCGTTATATATTAACATTATATATAATAACATTATAAAGTCGATAATATAGTATATAATATATAATAATATATATAATACGTGAATGTTTTAACATTAACAGTTAATGTATATGTGTTAACGTTAATCGTAATGCGTTCAGTTTATATTATTTATACTTACGTACGTACATACGTATGTACCTGCTAGGTTATACTTTAATTTATTTTTTATTTATATACGTATATATATTCGATTATGAATTTTTGCCTTAAAAATCAAGGTTTAATCATATGATTTACTATGTCAAGTATGTAAGGTTATTTTTTCAAGGCGAAAGTCCCTAATATTTACTGAATCATTCTTTCTTAACGATGAGGTGTTTATCTTTTAGGAAATTTTAATTTATTTCCTAGCCAATCAATTCTCAAGATCATCGTATGTTATAAGCATTTATTATGTATTATTAAGTTTCTAAGTACTAACCATTTTCAAAAGAATTTTAAGGCGATTCAGGTTTGGGATAATCGCGGAAAATAGTGTCGTAGATCGTGAAAGAGAAATACTACCTAATAATAATAAACTAATTAAATAAACTAATTAAATATACTAATTAATATACTAATTAATACAGTAATTATTATTATTATTATATTATTATTATTATTATTATTAATATAATAATAAATAAACACACTAAATAATAAAATTAATACCAATTTTCGTTTTCGGCTCCGAAATATTCTTTTAATAGTATTTACTGACCACGGAAATGAAACTTATTGATTCACCTTTTAATTCTATTATCCTGATATCCTGTAATCATTTAATTATTCTTTCGTTTATTTCTTTTAAAACAAGTAACTTATTATAATTTTAAATTTAGTACAGAAATAGGTTTTTTTTTCAGTTGTGTTAATTAATACCGTATTTATCATGTGTCTTGTTACAGAATTATAGAATTATTATTATTTTAATCATTTAGTTTCATTTAGATTATTTAGAAGGGTTTATTTAGAAGGGTTCATTTAGAAGGGATTGATTGTTTTTTATTTCTGTTTGAAAATAAATTTTTTTTTAATTGTTCTTATATCTGTATATAAGAAAAGTCTTACCGATACCTTTATATACTTTATATATGTATCAAAGTACAATGAAAATCTTATATTCATTAAAAAATCCAAAAAAACCTGGTGATAAACATTGTACGGCCTTATGTTTTTTTTCGGATCATCCATGTAAAACATTAACCCACCTGTATATATTTACTTGCTTTTTTTTTTCACTTTATTATCCTATATATTTCTTTCTTGATTACGGTCTATGATCTATGATAAATTTTTTGGTCATCACCCCTTCACTTGGACTGTTGGACCTCTTCTAATTTGAGCCTAATGCCTACTTTCACTATGCTCATGCAGTGTGCAACCCATAATCTCCTGCTTGGGCTTTTTTTTTTGTACTTGCATTCGATTTTTTTTTTCGTTTTCTTTTCCACACACACAACACAACACAAAAAAAAAAAAAAAATCAACACGCACAACAGTAACATAAGACTAAGGTATATAGTGTCTTCTTTAGCTAAAACCCTCCCTTTTTTTTTCTTTACCCTTTTCTTCTCCTTTTCCCCTTTTCCCCCTTTTTACTTTCGCTATTTGCTTCTTTTTCTTTTTTCTATCTTTTTTTTTTTTTTTTTTATTATAGTATTGTTTGTTATTATCAATAATATGCCGTCATAAATTATCTAAAGTCCTCTTGATATTATTCACTTGTGATATTTACTCTGATAAATTATATATAAAGTCGTGTGCTCATACTAACATTTATATATTTCTACTTTATCTTTTTTTTTTTTTCTTCCGCATCTACCTCTTCTACTTTTCTTGCTATAAACAATATATACACAGACTGTATTTATATAAAGAAACATTATTATCTAGGTTCCCCAGTACTTTCCCGTTTACCCGTTCATAAAAATCCTTAACAACAACAACAACAACAAAAAAAAAAAGAAAGGTTAAATAAAATAAATAAATAAAATCAGAACGAAAAAGGCTTTCTCCCACCAGGCATGGAAATCACAAAGGATCATAAAGATCGTCCTCCAGCTTTACGTCGTTCTCTTAGAATAAGGAACAGAGACGAGAGAAGACGACGTGAAGAAGTTGAACGTAAAGAGATTGAAGAACGTGGTGCTTTAATACGACTTCCAAAACGTCTTACTAAATTACCTACCTGTAAATCTGCTTCAACTGTCATGCCTAAAAGAAGAAAAATATTTCGTTATATAAACTTTTCACAAATTGGCACTACTGTCAATCTTACCAACATCCCTTTGGATTTACTAATATATACACTAGAATTCCTCGGTAAAGTATTTTTTAAAGTTAATCGTCTAAATTCTACCGCGTTATTTATCTTTTCGACTTACATTCTCTTATATTCTCTTTCATACTCTTATATTCTCTTTTTCACATTCTCTTGAATTCTCTTACTCCATTTCACACGTCGTTACACAACTCTCCATTTCGTCAATTCTGTTTAATAATATTAAAAGATGGTATGTTACTTTTAAGATTCATTGGAAAAAAAACGCGTTCAAGTTTCAATTATTTTAATTGTACTTGCACTTTGCTTTGTTAGGTCCTTCTCTCGCGGCCATGGAAAGGGTATCAAAGTCATTCTATCGCATCATAAGAGGGCAACACAGTCCATATAGATTCTTGTATTATAAGTTATTGGCAATGTATTGCCCAGTGGATGCTTCTTCGATGATAGAAAATGACGAACAAGAACGTGCGATCCATGCTCCAGTTTTACCAAAAATTCAAAAAACTCTTGCAAAAAAAGAATTCAGAGAATATAAAGTATCTGACTGGAAGGTTTGTGTTATTGTTATATCTTGTTTTATCTGCGTTATCTTGGTTTATCTGTGTTATCTTGTTTTATCTGTTTTATATCTTGTTCACACTCTCCATATCTTCACATTCTTAACATTCTCACACTTCTCACGTTCTTCAAATAGATTCAGGTAAATAAAATATCTTGTATTTTGCGGTTTTTATCTTTTTATAACGCGAATCGTGCTAATGAATTGTTTTGTAACTTTTGTAGTTTGTCGAGTCATATAAATATTACGTGACTCAGGTATGCACCATTTGCGCTGAACCCGGTGATCCTATTCCTGTGTGGGAGGTGCGTTTGTGTAAGTTCTGCGTCGTAAGGCAACTTATCAATAAGAGTGCGTTATTTGCATTCTCTTTAACTCCAAAAGAAATCGAAGTTCTCAGGGTATTTAATCTTTATAATAATTACTATATAAACATACGTAATAATTATAATTATAATTATAATTATTATTATTATTATTATTATTTAACTTATATATGATAAATTAATATATATTTTTAATTTAATCTTATTCAATTGAAAAGCCTTGGAAGACCTACGTGTATGACCTTGGAATGCACTGTACTTTTTACCTTCGTTCACAGCTTGACCACCTTCGGCGGCAAAAATATTCTGATCCTCAAATTGCTTTGGATCGAGATGTTGAACAACGTCAATCGGAAAGATTTTCTAAAGAAAATGCAAAACGTAAGAGAAAACAAAAAGAACAAGATGATTCTTACACCGAACGAACAAAATCTATTCTTAAATGTTTTGAAGAATTAAAATTGAAACCTGACTTAAATGTTATGGAAGAATGGTGGTTTCCAAAAGAACTCAAATTAGAAATACAAGAGGTAATTTCGTTTTTTATAAATATAATATATTATAATATATATATATATTATAATTATATGGTTACTCTCTCTTTTTTTTATTGTCAACTAATCTCATCATTATTATTATTATTAAAATTAATATAGTATATTTCAAACAAGACCAATAACAGTTTGGCTCGTAAACGTCTTAGAATTTCTATGGAACAAGATAACGCCAATGGTAATACTTCATCTGGCAGTATTGGTGTTACTGGTTCTGACACTTTAATTAAAAGTAAATCTCTTCGTAAAAATTTGGATGAGATAATGACCGAATTACGAAATGTCGTTGTACCACGTGTTTCAAGATTAATGGATCTAAATAGTCGATTAATGGCTGATGGTATAGCTGTTGATAAACTACGGATGGATTTAGATTTAAAAACACGAAGAGTATATGATGATTTTGTTTTAGGAGGTATGCCGATAGAAGATTATCCGTTAACTGCTGCTATAACGCGTAGTGAAATATTAGCTTATTTTACTCGCGAAAGAATCTTCGAAACGTCTATTATCTCTACATGGTATAGTTCAATTACGAATGATGATTTCTTATGCTGTCATCTTGAACGTCCCCGATTTTTACGTGATGCTCGTGAATGGTGGGCTCGTCGTGGAAAGAAACCACCACCGGAAAAATGTGGTGAATTATATCTTGCTCGTGTTCGTAAACGACAAGTGTGGCTAAAGAATGATATGTCATTGGTTACAATTCAAGAAAATTGGAGGCGTGAACTATTAGAACGTAAATTAAAGGAAAAAATTGATTGGTACTTTACCGACTTACCAAAATATATATCCACATTGAGGTCTACTTATGAAAATAATTTAAAACGAAGGATGAAAAATAGAGAAATATTTTGGATGAAGGTATATATATATATATATATATTAGAATATAGAGAATTATATACATATGATTTGTTAAAAAAAAATTATACATAAGCAGATATGATTTATTAAATAATATATATTTTTTTAGGGACTTTCTTCACATAATGATATGTTAGAACCACCAGAAAAATTGAAACCAATGTATTGTGATTATGAAGATTTTATAAAAAATTGTAACGGTTTCTGTCCAACTGAAGATGGTTATTGTGGTTGTTTGGAGTGTATGTATACGATTATTATTATATAATTATAGAATAAAATTGTCAAGTGAAGAAATAAAGTAGAGTTTTTTTTTCTTTTAATATACAGATGCTGCTAAAGATATCATTAGAGCAAATACGATATTAAGACGTAGGGATTGGATGGATGCTCAGTTGAGAAAGTGTCAAGAAATTAATTATCGAGGTCCTGATTTATTGTTGTGTCCAGAAGCCAAGGAGGAATATTATTATGCTGCCAGAAGTAAGTCATACTTTTATTTTATAATAATTCGATCTTTTTATCTTATTTGTCTTAATTAATTATTATTATTATTTTTAGATGTTTCTGTCCCAAAAAAAGCCGCAGTCATGTATATTTGTCGTGCTGAAAAATTCATGCGAAGACTTATAAGCGAAGTTCCCACTTTTTCTGCAGAACTAATCACATCAGAAGCACGTGATTGGTATAAACGATGCCTCGGAATTGTATCTGACTTCTATGACCCACCACGTCGACCTTGTTCATGGGCTGCATTTACGACAAATTGTTATTATTATGAAGTTCATAACAATATTATGGAAAGACCAGATATTGATTTTACAATTCGAAAAATTTATGAATGTGAATTAACTCGTATAAGTCGATTAGAAGCTGCTGATAATGCTGCTAAAGAAGCACGATTAAGTCCTAGCTTTTGGAACAAAGCAATGGTAAAACGTCCAATGGATGGTGTGTCATTTGCAACAAGAGTTAGATGGATTGCTTCAAATGGATGGTTTTCGCTAAATCAATTAGCTCAATCTTGGGTATATGATGAAGGTCAGGCTCCATTAAGTCAACTTGAGCCTTATATTAAAGAAAAGGTCAAACAAATGGAAAGGGAAAAACGTAAGGAAGACATCACGTCAAGGTAATAGATGATCGGAGGTTTTATTTATTTTATATATTTATTTTATATATTGATTTATTTATTGATTTATTATTCATTGTAATAAGTTATAATTGCTGATTTTGAAATATCCCTATAATTTAATAGGATCAAGGATCATCCTGAGTATCAAATGATATTCAAGGAGGTTGATGAGGATCCTGAATTCTTCTTACGTGCAACTTACGAAATTAACACTATTTATAAGGTAACAACAATATTTAAATTATTAAATTATTATATAATATTGTTTAAATTTATTATTATTTACAAATTTGATAAAATTTTATTTAATGACAGGTGTCTAATCTGTATAAATCTCACGTCGAAGATGTTAAACCAGGTATTGATCCCAATAAAGTTGTACGGCAGGTTATCGATCTTATAAGAGATGTTAAAACCGGTGTTATCAGCAAAAGTAGCCTGTTTGTTGCAGATCGTGAAAGATTTGCTGAAGAGGAAGACGACGATGATGATAACGCAGGCGGTGTAATCAACGTCGGCGGTGCGGTTAACAATGGTGGTGGTGCTAACGTAAATAACAATAACAATATAACCAATCCTACGATGACAAATCCACAACCTGTTATAACTAATATTAATAATAATGCGGGTAACGTTGTCGGGAATAATACCAATTCAACTAACTCAACTAGTGTGTAACCCGGATTTAAAGTTAAATTGGTTGTAAACTTGTCGCGAATAGATAACCTGAAAATATTACGTTATTAATTAAAACATGTATTGTATATTTTTTTTTTTCGCCATTCGGACTGATCCGGATAGCAATAAACAACATGAATGGCCTCAATAGGGTCTTTATAACACATGATTCCTTTAAAAAAAAAGAACCCTTAACGTAGGTCTGGGATTTACTAGACCGGGGTAGCTTAAGATATGGTTGGTTAATAAGTGTTTGGCATTTTTTTTTTTAAAAAAAAACTGTATATTTTTTTATAAACCATTTTAATAAAAAAAAAAAAATTTTTTTAAAATTGAGATTCAAATAAAACATTAAAAGCGATGAAAAAATTATTATCGCTCTTCGAATTAGTTCGACCATTGAATTTGGTAACTCACGAGAAAATTATAAACCTTAAAAAATTAGCAATATCAATATAAAAAATCATTCGGAACGTAAACGAGATGTACGGGATTCTCTTGGTCTATATTAAGAATTTTTCGACTTCGAAAGAAGATTGAGTGAGACTTTATCGACAAAACGAAGCTCATAGCGGAATTTTTCATTGGACTCAAAAGTCTCCATTATTGTTTGACCAAAACATTCTCTGCGATAATGCAGGCAGTGCAAATTAACCCCTACTTCTCCATTAGGGAGAATTCTTGCAATGTTATACGTATATGTATCTTTAGGGTAATGATATTAAAGATTGTTTTTTAGTGTCACTTTGCTCGTACTAGTTGTAAGAATTAGCAACCTTTTTGTTCTAATAATTTTTAAGAAAAAAAGAAAAGAAAATCCTTTTTTCTAAAAAGAACCAATAAACGATTTTTAGTAACGATAGTAACAAAGACTTATTTTCGCATTAAAACTCGTATTTTTTTTTTTTTTTTCTACACCATTTAAATATATAATTATTAAAAAAATTGTATAAGATGATCAATTTTATTTATCGTCATAATTTTCACTTGATAAAAAATATATGCAAAATTTAAACATTCGTAATTACAGAGTTAAACAAGTAGGTACAGTAATTCTTCTATAATAGAAAGTGAATTCGACTTACACAAGTTTTTTTGGCATGGAACTTTGATTCGATAGTACGTAAGTTTACTGACATGTTAAAAACACTACGTTAGAAATTTAAAATTACCCAACCCAATCTATCCTTTTTATTAGATGTTTTGCTTTCATTATATAACAAACTTGCTTATTCGTTAGAACCTTCTTTTTTTTTTTTAGATAAACCGACCATTAAAACTTTTTTATATAATTTTAAATAGAAAAACTTTTTTTAAAAGGATCTTCGGTTAAATGTTTCGCACGCCACAAAAATAATTTTTTATTCGCTGTGATCGTGATGAAAATATTTTCATGCAGAATCAAGTTTTTCCGGGGTTATTTTAAGGTTCGTTCAAAGAGAATTGCAGGGATTTTTTTTTTTTTTTTTAGTTTTACGCAAATATCGTGATATGATAAATATTTGAAGGTACAAGTGTAAACGAAAGTTCCTCTTAACTTTTAAAGGTTAAATTATTTAACTAAATAATCATAAATATTGTATTTTTTTTTTACGCTATAACACATTTATTCAAGTATGGTTTTTTTTTGTTACAAAAAAAAAAAAATAATAATAACGTTAAAGGATCCGGAAGAACCATTTTCTTAAAGTTTATTCTGATCATCTTGCAGATAAAAAAAGACCATTCATTGTGCTTAAAATTATATCGATATATATATATATGTGTGTAATATATCGATATATGTATTATGTATTTAAAATATAAATATTCAACTTCAGTTTTTTTATTCGTACGTACTAGTTATTTGAAACGAATTTGGCCTTATAATGATGCCTTGTGTTATTATTAAAGTTAATGAGAATTCCTAAATCATCATTAAAATTGATATATTTGACATACCGTTATTAGTATTAAACGATAAAGACAATGATGATACGTATTGACATATATCACCAAATACGTATGTAGGAGAAACAGGTAAAATGAAAAGCTATATATAAAATACAATATACATATCGATATACGTCTATCTATTTTTTTTTTTTTTTTTTTAAAAAAAAAAAAAAAAACTTGTTCGATAAGAATCATCAATTGTTAAAAAAAATCAATCCCCTTTGTTGTTGGGGTGCACCTTCTAAAGAGGAGGGACCAAAAAAAAAGACCACAAAGAATTTAAAAAAAAAAATTACAAAAATGCCGATATAAACGTGATCGTCATCTAACAATCCAATGATTGTAAACAAAACAGTAAATAAGCCAATATTAGATATTGTTTGAGTCAAGAAAAAAAAACCTCGCGTAAATAAATGCGGCTTAACGTTAATCTTTGGCGCATCTCTTTTTTTAAGCCAACGTTTGGTACATTGTCATAAGCACATGCATTATTTATGCGCATTTGATTGATATTTTTCCAATATCAAAATTAAAAATTTTATAGTCTCTCGGATTTGATTGGTTAAGATATTGATATAGTTACGCAGCTAAGACAAAATTGAAGATGTAAAAGTTATACGTAAAGGCTAGTTCTCAAAAGATACAAATTTTTGTGGGGAACAAACGTGGGGTTAGATGATATGTAAATTACTTACGCCTATATTTTGAAATGATGATTTTTTATTATACAACATACATTAGTTTTGTGTATATTTTTATATATATATTCGTTAAATTAAAAAATTTCTGTTAATTAGAATGCTGTATATACTGTGATTAGTTATTATACTATATAAAACTATTACTTTTTAATACTATATATATAATAATAATAAAATATATACTTATTAGTAATTGTAAAAAAATTATATTAAATTTTGAAATTTTTATTTAAATTTATAATACTGTATATATAGACTCAACTCTTTCTGACGATCATTTGGACCAACCTTACCAACAAAAAAAATAGAAGTTTGCTGGAGTTGGAGCTGAAGTAGATGCATAGTAATGGTTTTTATAGAGGTCAACCAGGTTGTCTTGCTTTTTCTTTTGGCTTGGAAACTCCTCTATATATTTATCATACAAGTTAGAAGCGTTCTTGTACAAGATAACTGGCAGGAGGGTGTGCCCTTGTGCAAAAAATTCTAATAGAAGAGGTCTTTCATTTCCGATAATGAAGTTATATATGCACCTGACTTACCTGGAGAACAGCAGACAACTGTTTTAAAGAAGTCTCATACTCTTTTACTTGGCCAAGTGGTTCCTACTTTACTATTACTCACCTCCCCATCGGTCTTCCAAAATTTTTTTTCAAAAAGTGGGGATTTGGCTTACCCCCTCCAAAAGATCGACATTGTTTACCTCCAAATCTGGATAGGCCGGTAGATAGCAACACGTGTCCAAAAATGGATACGACGTTCAAATGCTAGAACGGGTCCCAGTCAAAAAAGGAATCCCTAATTACAGCAGCAAGTAGCTTGAGATACGAGTCTACGGACAGCGACAGCACTTGCTTGAGATACAAATTAGGTTTATAGAAATTTCCGGAGTTGGGTCGAAAAGAAAAATAACGATAAGGCATAGTCTTACAGTAGAGATATACAGATGTTGCTCTTGTATATAATTTTTATCAACCTGGCA